TATTGTCGAGGGTTTCTCGAATGAGGGCAACACTGATGGCTTCATTAGTGATAGAGAGATGAAGGTAAAGTGTTTCCCTGTTGTCTGGTCGTGACAAAACAGGTGGTTCGAACAGGGCTTGCTTGAGATGGCGCAGAGCCTGCTCGTATTCCTCTATCCATTCGAACGTTGCCTCTTTCCGGAGGAGCTTGAAGAAAGGCAGGGCGTGTTGGGCGGATTTAGCTATGAAGCGAGATAGCAAGGTGGGCATCCCGTTGAGGGACTATATGGATTTCTTCGACTCAGGTGTGAGGAATTCAGAAAACGCTCGACATTTCTCAGGGTTGGCCTTTATCCCCCTCTCTGTGAGGTAGAACCCGAGGAACTTTCCTGCCCATACGCCAAAGGTGCATTTTTCTGGGTTGAATCGCATTTTACACTCCCTAGCTTGGTCGAAGACCTTTTGAAAGTGGAGTGTATGATCGAATTTCTCTTGGTACTTCACAATCATGTCGTCCATATATACCTCGAGCATGTCTCCGATTTGTGATCGGAATACTTTGTTCATCATTTGCTGATATGTGGCCCCAACATTTTTCAGACCGAAGGGCATTACATTGTAGTAATAGTCTCCCAACGAGGTCATGGAAGCGGTGTACCTCTTGTCCTTCTCTGCCATGAGAATTTGGTTATATCTTGAATAGGCGTCCATGAAGGAAAAAAGTTTGAAACCGACAAAGTTATCTACTAACTTATTAATGCTAGGCAAAGGATAAGCGTCTTTCGGGCAAGCCTGGTTGAGATCGGTGTAATCAATGCACATTCTCCACTTTCCATTATGTTTTTCTGACTAATACAATGTTAGACAGCCAGGTTGTATACCTGGCGTCCGAGATAAATTTGGCCTCTAAGAGGTCTTTTACAAGTTTATTTGTCGTTTCAGTCTTCTCGTCGGATTGCTTGCGCCTGCCCTGTGCTACCGCCCGAGCAGATGGGTTGATGGTGAGCTGATGGAAAGCGGTTTCTAGGTTAAGGTCAGGCATGTCTGCGACGCTCCAGGAAAATAAGTCAGCGTTGTTCTTCAAGCAAGTCTTCAGCTGCTCCTTTACCTCATCTGGCTCTCACACCAATCCTGACTTCTCGGTTGAGGTTGTCCCCGAAGGTGATCACTTCGAATTCTCCATCTGGTGTCGGGCGCATGACAGTTGTAAAGGATGAGCTTCCCGTTGAAACTGGAGTGTCTTCTTCGCCTTCTTCTGAGATTCGACTGTCGAGGTCGATGGCATGAACCTGGAACGTTGGCTTCTTTTCGGACTGGCTTTCTTCGCTGGGAAGATCTTCGTCTCTCACCCGTTTGATGACCTGCGGTACTGTACTGATTGAATTCTGCCCCTTGATAGCCGCCTCGAAGCATCGTCTTGCAGCCTCAAAGTCCCCCTGCAAAGTGGCGACATGCCCCTTTTTGGTATAGTACTTCATCTTAAGATGAACTGTGGATGGAACAGCGATTAACTCGGCAAGTATCGGCCTCCCTAGGATGCATTGGTATAGGGAGGGGCAGTCTATGACTAAGAACTGAGTCTTAATTGTTTTGGCAGCATCTTCCTCCCCGAACGTAACTTGGAGCTCCACGTATCCTCAGGGCCTAGCAGTGGCCCCGTTGAATCCTTGCAAATCTGAACCTACATAATGGGACAGGTTCTTCTGGTCGAGTTTGAGGGCGCATAATAGGCTGGTGTACATGATGTCTACCGAGTTATCCTAATCGACAAGGATTCGACGGATGCCAGTGTTGGTTAACCTGGCTCTGATGAGAAAAGGAATGTGAGCGTCGGGGGAGCCTTCGGGGAGCTCTTCGCGGTAGAAAGTGATTGGCTGAGTTGCCCTCGGAACTTTTCGAATGTTGACAGACGATCTGGGCTACAGTCGATCAGTTAGTCGAATTTTCTCTTTATTGATCCTACTTTGAGTTCGTTGCTTTATCTTTTTTCGATGCTCTAGAACTCTCTTGGTCCCTCGAGTCTATGGCTCTATACGCGGCTTCCTTTTCCTCGTATTAAATATAGGATTGTGCCCTGCGGAAAAGTTCGGCTAGAGAACAAGGATGGTCGATTCCTACCGCCTTGCGGAAGTCGCTCTTCGACCTCAATCCCTTTTCTAACAGATACTTTTTCATGTGGTCGGTTGTGCAGATTTCGACTGATTCCTTAGTGAATCTGTAGACGTAATTGCGAAGAAGTTCGTCCCTGCCATGGATGATACCCTCAAGTGTGGCTTCAGGTTTCAAATGACACCTAGAGGCAGTAAAATGTCGGGAAAACTGCTCCTTCAGACTCCTTCAAGACGTGATTGAGCTCTGAGGAATGCTTTTATACCAAGTCATAGCCCCCTTCTTGAGGGTGATGAGAATAACCTGCATTTGATTTGCCCAGTGACATTGTGGTAGTGCAGCATTACCTCAATGTTTTCTATATGGTCTCCAGGATCAGTGGTACCTTCATAGAGAGTCAGAGGGGGAGGTTTCTCCAGCACGCGAGAAATGCGGGTGTCCATGATTTTCTGTGACAAGGGACCGTGGGCGTCGTCTCCGTCGCTCGTGCTTGGCGACCTGCTAAAAGAATAACCGCGTCCACGGCTCCTGTTGCGTCGAGAAGAACGTCTGTGTCGGCTTCGGTGCTCTTCGTGAGGTTTTCCAGAAGGCCTGGTCCTTTTGGACGCTAGGGAGTGCCTGGACCTCCGGGGAGGGGTACGATCGTGTCTTCTGGTGATCTCGTGTCCATGTTTCTCCGGTTTGGACCGCTCTCTGACTGAGGAGATGCTTCTAGATTCATCTCGACGACGCTTCTAAATAGGAGAACGAGGCCGGAGAGATGGGTTGAGGGATCCCCGCGGGGGAGATTGCTCTCCGATGGTATTCAACATGTGGATTTTTTCCCCTTGTTGGAAGAGCAGATAGTTAGATTTATTGAGAGTGGCAATGAGGGTCGTAGTGCAGGGGTCATCATCTTGTGGGACGACGATAGGCTCGTATACACAGTCGGAACTTTGGACACGAGGTTTCACGTTGTCAGGAGATGCCGATTTCCCGTCCCTATGATCGGTTTCTCCGGTGGCAGCTCCGAGAATGGGGGTTTCGCCGTAACCCAGAATGACGACGATGGAATCTTGATGGACGTCATTATGGTGAGAGGCCATGACGATGAAGGTTCAGAGAGATAGCTTTGGTCTTTTGTTCGGGAAGATCAGGGAATCTTGGTTCAAGAGAGAGGGTATTTATGAGATTTCCCCCAGCGCGGGGCCAAGGTCTCCCATGTGACCGAAATATCTGGTCGACCAATGGGAGACTGCCAGGTGGAAGATCTAGCGCGTGATCTTTAACCTGGTCCAACTTTCTCCATGAATTTCGAAGGGGCAGTAGGTCGCGTGAACTGTCAAGCGCCTGAGAGGATGTCCCCAACGACTATATGCCTCAACGGCTATGTTATGCTCAACGGCTATATTGTGCCTAATCTCTTTATTGGGTCTGACCTTAAGTTAACATAGATTGGATCTTGCCCAACTGTGGGACATGTGTCAGTCCAATCCAAAATAAGAAGTAAGTTCTTGTGCACATGGACTCCAAATTTTAATAGGTTAAAAAAATTTCATTAATAGACAAAAAAAAATTATAATAAAAATTCAATACATAAAAAAATACTATGATAAAATCTTCAATAAAAAAATACTACAATATAAATGCAATAAATAAAAATTGAAATGGACTAAAAGTCAAATTATTTAAATTAAATTCATTTTTAATTAGTACATAAATTATATTTTAATCCGCCATTTTTAATTTAAATCTAATTTTAAATTAGAATGGAGTCTCCTCTCACACTCCACACTTTCGTTCTTTAATATTTAATTTTAAAATTGAGAGAAAGATAATGACTTAAGAGGAAAAGGGGAGATAAATTAGATAAAAAATACATATTCAAAGTAGTGATTTGAGGAGAACTTTATAGCTCGATACTTGTATTGGAATTTCTTATTGTCTTTTTTTTCTTCACAAATTTGAATTGTAATTTTTGTCTTTCTCTCTTTAACAAATTTGTTTCAATTTATTTTACATTTTGACTCGTCTTAGATTCTTTGATGTAAAGTTGTTGATTTTAAGTTTGTACATAATAACATGTGATTAACGTGTGTACATAATAAGTTAACCAATTTTCATGACATGTAAGAAATGTGGTTAATCGAGTGAAACTTAATCATCACTCAGCATTCCATTGTTTCGGTAAATGAGTATTCATGCACCAACGTCCCTAATAACATGTGAGTTGTGGCCTATGTAAGTGTTATAATATTCCGATATAAATTGTCCATTCCAGGGATAAACTACAGCAAATGTCAGTCTATCAAAATTTTATAAATCATCTTGGATAAGACAATTTATTACAACTAAACAACTCATCATCTCTTTAATTTAGTTTTAATATTACAAATTTCAAAAACTTTATTGTATTTTTAAACTAATGAAGGGAACTCACATTCGCCCGGACAACCACATAACATCTCAAACCATAATACTTTTGAAAAAAAATGAAAGAGGAATAAAATGGAAATAAAGTTGGAAAAGGTTGGTACTATTAGAAAGAAAAAAAAAACATCTTAAGATTTTTCAAGTAATAAGCTGCAAAATATCTTGCAGGTAACCAAAAAAGTTATTTTAATGCATAGAGCCAGATAAGTAAACTACTTTGCAGATTCATTGGTGTATGTGGTTTTGATTAGAATGATGAGGATTCTGAAGCTAATCTACACTGCTGAGAAATTGCAGGAAATAACTGTGTGATAGGAAAAATAATATCAAAAGCATTACCCGTTTAAGGTATTTTAGTTCTCCGGAGTAATCACCCAAATTAAAATAGAACTAGATCTACGTAATACAAAATCCTAACAATCAAAAAGGAGTGTCGTTGATGAATTATCCTACTAGAAAGATCGCCCCTTGAATATTGTAACTCTTTGGGAAGATGGTTTCATACTTTCTTGAAAAATGAAAGAATATTGCCCTGTTTGGGATCCTTCGAGTTTCCTGCTTTCTTGCTTCCTCCTTTTCCGGTAGCATTTGATGTAGCCGGCGGCTTCTTAGTTGCCGGTGCACTGGAAATTCAATGAATTAAGTTAGTTGTCAATAATTGCCAAACTTAAAACTTCCAATAAAACAATAAACTTCTTTTTGTCTACAAAGTTCAAAGTCTTAAAATGTTATTGCTGGCTAGAATGGACAGTCAGCTGGTAAGAATGAGCAGTGAACTGCTTATATCCTTGAATTGCTCATATCAATGTAGAAACTCATTTCAATATTATGAAAGCAGGATTGTTCTGTCAAACCTTGAAGCAACTTCAGAAATACCTTGCGAGTTGCAAAGCAAACCTAATGAGGAACCCTTTTATGCTTAAAATGACACCTTAACAATGTGTCATGCGGGCATTTGAAGTATTGGCTGTTTCCAAAATTTCATTTATTCAGTTCAAATGTAAATATAACCCTAACCTGTTGATAGCATTGGTGGATGCTTTATTGTCAGCTTTCTTTGCTGCATCCGTATCAACTTTCTTTGCTGCACCCGTATCAACTTTCTTTGGCTCTGTCTCCTCCCCCTCCCAGACTACTTCAGTTACTGAAGAATAAACATAACTCAGACAAACACAAATATAAAATATAAAAAATAAAAAATAAAAATAAAAAACTTATGGTGAAAGCAAACTTTGATGAGGATCACCCAAAATCATGCATATATAAGTGAAATTTTGTTAAAGAACTAGGTTCAAAACACATGCAAAATTAACATGTTATAGTCATACATAAAGTTTAACTTGTATGCTATAAAGGAAAAAAGAACCTGGGGATCTATAAAATGCATTTAAGAGTACCTTCTCTCCCTTTTTCATCAATCCTGGTCTTCATCACTTTTCTCCTCTTAGGTGAACCTGGAGATACCTTTTTTACACTATCCTTATTTACAGAAATTTCGGGAGCGCTACTCTGCAGCTTCTCAGTAGATGATTTCCCATTACTTGTGCACTTGGTCATAATTGATAAATCTTCTCTTGGTGGTTGGAAAACCTTTTTCTCAGTTGCTTTCTCTTCTTTAACCAATGGTTTATGTCCTACCTGCAAATCAAAATTCAAAGTGGTTTTCTCTAATGACTTTTTATCATTTTGTCTGGAATCTTGAGGTGGCTGTTTAATAGGGACATCAGGTGATGCTAAACTGATGATATCTTCGTCTTCATCTGAGAAATCAAAGACAACCCTCCTTTTTCTATTGGATGATCTTCTTAAGATGACACCTTGATTGTCATCATCATCACTGTCACGATCTACTGCTTCATGAGCACAAGTTTGGGCATTTTCAGTGACTTCTGAAATATTTCATTACATGTCAGTAGAAATTGGACATGCAATGTTACAAAACTAATGCTATTATAATTATAATCTTTAGAACAATCTGAAAATCTAAAACATAGGAATATTCAATAAACTGTAATAGAAACTAACCAGCGGGATTTGAAATCAGGTTACTATTTCCTGCTGGCACAGGGCAGGGCTTGGGTTTTGTAGATGGTCTACCCCAAAAGCTTGCCAACGAACCTTCAGTACCAGAGCTACTTTTATCGCCCTGTCCTTTCTTTTTCCCTGTGGGCACTGGAAGGGACTTTTCTTTCTCTGCAGTAGGTTTATTGGTGTTATCATGAACTCCTGTATTTCCTGTACCATTGTTTTCAGTCTTGACATCTTTCACCACATTCTGTGGTTTGTGGTCAACGTTAGCAACAGAACTGTGTGTTGTGTTCTTTGGAGGTTGGTGAACAATGTTACTCTTTGTTGGTTCCAAGCCTGCTAAAGATTTTATTTGTGGAGTGGCAAAAACTGCCGGTTGGCCCTCCACATTCCTTCTTACAAAAGAATTAGAGATCCCACAGAACCTGAGAAATAATTGAAAACATCATATCTCATATAAAGACTAGTATATGACAAGAACATGTGCACATCACATCATTCCATCATTTAACCTTTCCTTGCAAAACAGAAATCAAAATCATATTATATACATTCTACATTTCTTATAGGAGAAGAAAATAGCACAAGGGGTGGGGAACGAGTATACCAGCAAACCTGAACTATACACAAGCAATGGAAAGACTTAATGCTGGTCTTTCTTTATAAACACTAAAATTTACACTCTGTCGTTCCAATAGTTGAGAGCATATTCTAAATGCAGAACACAGAAGGATCTTAGTTTGGTTTCATGCATTTTATCTAATTGAACTTTTTTTGGAAATTTATGAAAAATAATATTATTTGGGAGAAATGGCGATGTTTGGAGCAAGTAATAGCAATTAATTTGTCACAGGGGACTATTTGAGTCAAGATATCATTGGAAAGCTATTATAGTCATATACAAAGTTGTTCAATTTTTAATCATCTTTTTCGTAAATGTAAACTAATGCATTTATTCTCGGATATACATAAATAAATATGCATGACACCGTATTCCCTCTTAAGCAATTCACAGAAACCTTTCATGAAAAAATCTGGTCTCATGTCAAGTGTACAAAAAAGACAACTGTTGTAATTTTCACTAGCAAAGAGAACCAAAAAGAAAATATGTCAGTTCCATATGACTAGCACCAAGTCTGATAGCATAATTATGATAAAGCAATCAGACTAGTCCACAAAGAATGCATTTCCGCAAGTATCGAGACTTGCTTGAGGGACAACTAAATGCATATGTACTAAATACTATATTACATGTTCATTACCAAAAAGTATACAAAAATACCATATACATATTCTTCTGAAGGTATGGAACCTACCTATTGTCTCTCAAGCAATTATCAGCCGAGGGAGGCTGCTTGAAGAGCTCTTCTGCTTGAATGAATTCTGCATTCCAAAGCACAGCTGGATCCTTTGGAATGCTAGCTTGCACACTGTATACCTGGACCGAGCAATGCCCATCAAACTCTTGTTGTGCTTCTGCATAAAAGATGGGAATTAGTTTCATGTAACTCCTACTTCCCTATGTTTTTCACGAGTGACCGGAATTTTTTTCTCAAAACTCTTTCACTAACAATGTTTGTAAAAATGTTAACTGAACAGCTCAAGCGAGTTTCCTAATAAGCAGTTCTTCAAAAAGAGAGAAAATTGACCATACCCAACTGGTGGGTAAGAGAAACACCAAATTGATTCGTGTCCTAGTTACTAGGAGAATTAATAAACAAAAATTACTCCAGTTTCTGTAGAAAAAAAGATGCTAAAAGACAATCAACATTCACTTGAAAAACTAAATCAATCAGTTGGTGTTTGATTTGATCCCAACCCTAAAAGCTCATCACTAAACAAACAACCATAAACTAAACAGAAACAATACTATGAATAAAACACACCAGGTTTGTCTAATAAGAATTTATGACATGGAACTAGAAAATGATATCAAATCAAATCAAAACAAGTAACAGCAGATGGTTCAACAGTAGGAAAAAAAAACACCATTAAGGGAAAGTCATATGTCATTTTGTAAATTTATAATCTACAGTATGTAGCACCATCACTTCAAATTTAAGACATGTCCAGTATGGATATGACCCCAACACATATGATTACACTCAATCACTTTTATTAAAATTGTTATTTGTATTATGTGTTTTGTAACTGTGTCTAACTTTCATATTGCATAATTGACACTACTACTATCACTATTATACTTAAAAAAAGACCATAATACCTGCAAGTTTTGGTTCAGCAACAAGCCTTATGTGGTAGCTAGGATGAGTACTCTTTAACCAGCCAGACAAAGCATACACCACTTCCAACTCACCCTTATGTTTTTGAACAAATTCCTGAAGCAACCTAAATGTAACAAAATTTTCAATTCTTCACATACTCATACCATGGTAAAAAAAAAAACATCAATTTTACAACAGAGTTTTTCCCCGTTTCAGAAAATAAAAAACCCTACCTCTTTGCTTCATCAGATGATATCAGATAACTGCGACTAAGCCACTTGTATGAAACCTGAAAGACAACCCACGAGGTTAGATATCAAACTATTTTTCATGAAATGAAAGAAATTTGGGATAAACGAATGGAAATTTGATGAAAATACTTGGAAATTGAAATCTAGAAAGGGTGAAAATAACAAATTTTATCGGAGATAGGGAGAAAAATACCACTTGAAGTTGATCTGAGACGAGAGATTCAATCTCGTGAATCAAAGATAGGGTTTCGGTTTGCGACATCGGAAGAGAACGACGGCAAAAGGAGGGTCTAGTGGGGTTTCTTATTTTTTTGGCTTCGCTTTCCCGCCAATATATTGTGGAATGGAATGAAAAATAGAGGATTGATTGTGTTTTTATTTTATTTGGGCAACAATGATTATTCTATTTCTATTTGGATAAATATATGCAATTTTAAGTTTTAACTTAATCAATAATAATAGTAGTAATACTAATATCATAATTTAATGGGATTTGAATTTGATTTCAATGATTGATTTTTTAATTAGTTTTTTTTTCTTTCTTTTTTAGCCATAGAACTTTTCCACTTCAGTTAATTCTATTCAAGTTGTATTGGATGTTAAATGTAAGTATTTTGTGTTTTTATGTCAATTTATGAGATGAATCTTCTATGTATGTGATGGATATTGTTATTGTGATTTGTTAGTGTGGTGTTTTGATTTCTCAATCTTCTTTTTATACGTTTTTTATTTGTGTGAATGGAAGGAGTTATATCAATAAATACGTTAATATGTTAATGTGAGGTGAAATTTATGTATATCGCAAAGGCGAAGTGATTCAACAGTTATAGAATTGTTACTTTTACTAAAGTAATCTATGAGATTATTAATGTCTAAGTATGAATTTGTTATTGTATCTGATTTTGGGATAGGTGATGACATTTATCTTATTTGAATATGCTCTATATATAGTTTAGAACGGTGTGAGCACGTTGGTACTTTTAAATGTCTGATTAATAGACACGTTAGTTTTAAATAATGATATAGATATTTTATTGTGATGTGCCATCCTATTACATCAAGATGAGCATCCCGACTCTTATGGATTTTGGCTTTGCTATTGGGAATTGTTTTGTTCTTTGATATGCAGACTTTCCTGATATACAATTCATACTATATTTAGTTTGGGTTTCTTACCCTCATATCATTACATAAGCCCTTAGACGATTAGTTATTTTCATAAATAATATTTCTAAAAAGTTTTTGAAGTTTGAAATTTGAACATTTTATGAGATGGAGTTTTCTTGAGTTGAGGTATCATAATTATATCAATGTGGTACATGTGGCCCCTTAGACTTGTAGCTCAGGTTTCATGTGGAAGACTAAAAATTTTGTTGGGTTGTCACGTTGTCGTTTGCATGCTCTTGTGTTTTATGTTACGACATGTGTGCTTATTGGTTTCTCTAAATGACATAATAATGTGATATTTAATTTTTTATACACGATCAAGATTGTTGGATTTATTAATTTGTATTTTTATATTTGATCATAATGGATAAATATGAAATGTTTGGAACTATTATGTAATGTTGCTTTCAATGGTTTTTATATTCTTATAGTTCCACTTTTTTCCTTTCATTTTTAGATTTGTGATTTCTCTCAAACTTTCAAATTTTTTCCTAGTTTGTGCTTTATCGTTGTCTTGCATTTTGATTTTGTAGTACGTTTGATTTATGCTCCTTTGTACATACATATATTATTTAAGATGATCAAGCCTACGCAGTTTAGGTTGACAATTGTGAAATAACTCGTATAGTTTATATCCACCTCAAATAAAGGATTTATTCTCAGACGAATAATTTAACAAAGCTTACTTGGTATTCCTCTGTAGATAAATATGATGCTCATCGCTTCTTTTAGGCTTGAATTCTATTTGGAATTCAAAGAACTCTATATACCATGTTACCACCTTTTTTGAAAGCTCAACTTTTGCATGGTCTTTTTCATGGGAAAGTCGGTGTTAATGTTTCACAACTATTGGATGTAATTGAAGTATTTATCGAGATCTAACTACTTACAACACCTTACTTATAAAGTGCATTGGACATTATTCTCATTCCCTTTCTTCAACAAGTGAGAGATGTATGACTTCCTTCGTGGATGTTAAGCAAATAGTCAACTTGGCTTATAAAGTATGCCTAATTAAGACTATAGGTGATGAAAGAAATCTCTTCTCTTCAATTTGTTAAAAGCATCGCATTAAAGGATACAATGAAAAATTCTAATTTCTTAAGGACTTGGTAGAATGGAAAATATTCATACGATGAATTGGATCTAAATTAAAATAGAGAGCAACAAATACTGTCAGTCATTTCACCTTTTCTAATAGATGTTGGACTTCACATTTTTAGTATCAATTTATATTTGTCAGGATTTACATTCATTTCCTTTTAGAGGATCACGAGTCTTATGAGTATTCATCTTTAAACCTTGAAAGTGTATTTTTATGGATTTGGGCTCATGTTATATTTTATGGTCTATTCAAATATTATTTGCAAATCAACATAATGAGAATTTACATCTTGTGTTTTGACCATCATGTTGTTTCTATATGTCTCAATGTTGTCCCTAGTCTGCTTTGAAAGACTTTGTCCATGTGCCTTTGGTAAATGGCACATGCATTTTATAGTCCAATGAGTATGAATTGTAATAAAAATATGGGTCATTTGTCATGAAGGTCATCTTTCTCTCACCTTGATGTTCCATCTAAGGACATGTATATGTTTGGCAATGGATACATATCTTTATGATGTATATTCTTCTATTTTCATTCCGACATTGGTTAGCCTGGTCGTATATGTTTTTTTTTTTTGGATGAATCACGCTTTTACTATATTTGTACCTCTTCCCAAAATGCAACTCGATATTATCCTACTAGTTTTCTTTTCTTTTGTACTATTGGTTAGAAAATATGATAAATAGCTAGGTGATAAAAATACCTCTTGGTCGATTTCAGGCATGTTTATTGGACTCCATGCAAATAAATATGAGTTTCTTCTTACCTATTATCTTGACTTCTTTTACTTTCTTCATGGGTTATGGTATGCATTCAATTTTCTCCATATGATTAAATTCTATGAGTTTTTTTTTTTTCATGGCCCCTTGATCAAATGAACTACATTTTGGGCCTCTTCTCATAATGCCTTTCTAGATTCATGAATCATGCCTTTACTAGATTTTGGGCCTCTTCTCATAATGCAACTCGATTTTCTCCTACTAGCTTTCTCTTATTTTGTAGTATTGGTCAAACAATATGATAAATGGATATGTGGTAAAGACTACCTCTCAGTCGATTTCAAGCAAGCATATTAGACTCCTTACGAATAAAAATGAGTTTCTTCTTACCTACTATCTCAAATTCTTTTACTTTCTCCTTGGGTTGTGGCATGTATTCACTTTTCTCCATACGATTAAATTATATGAGCTTGTTTTCTTCTTCATTGTCTCTTAATCGAATGAACTACCCATCTTGAATAGGGTATTTTTTATTTGTCATGAGGTTTTGGATATATCATTGCATAGCCATTTGTTGATGTGTGTGTTCAAGGTGGAAACTTTCTCATTCTATAAAGTGAATTTCTTGACAAGTGTGGTGTTGATATGATAGCTCCAAGTGCATTTAGTATATGCATTCTAATACTACGGTTGTATCCTGACGCGTCTGAAAAAAGAATATGACTTTGTGATGCGCGTCGCACGTTCGCGAGAATGACTAACAGAGTCGCCACCGAACTTTATTTATTTCCAAAAAAAGGAAGGGAAATATTGATAAACCCCTAAAATAACGATAATGATATGGTTGTTCCAAACAAATCGAGTCAGGAAGTCGATTACATAAGGGAAAGGTATTGGCACCTCTCACGTCCGTTATACTCGACGGAAACCGTTTTGTTAGTTTGTGCATAAGTGTTTACTTAAAAATGTTTGACTTCTCGAGTTATTAAAAGGGAAAAATGATAAGACTAAAATGTTAGTTTTTTAATTAAGATACCTGACAAGACTTTGAATCTCACTCCTACGTATCTCCGGGAGCGATGCAGAACTCGAGGCTATGTGATTCTAAGTATAAAATGTTTGTTTGTTGGTCGATTTTAACGAAAACTATTTTGTCAGAATCGACAAAAAACATTGCTTACTCAAAACAATTAGAGGAGAGGGAGTTTGCATCACATTGAATGGATTTCTACACATCAACATTCGCAAGAAACGTCATTTATCTCAACTCACACATTTGTTGACGGAACGTTGTTTTGCATTGTCTCGAACCGAAATATCTTTCGTTTGTGAAAAAGGTTTTGATCGTGTGATGGCGAGAAAAGATTTTGATGTGTTGGATGTCTTTTTGGGTTGGTAGTAGTGTATTTATGACTTACAGGTTCTTACAACTTGGGTCTAATACTCGAGACTATGACTAGAACTTACACTCAGGCAGTTTTTTCCTTCCATTTTTAATTATGAAAAAGTTAAAGTTGTTTAAGTTAGTCATTTTTAGATTTTCATGAGAAAAGAGCTAGACATTAGATCAAACATTTTTATTTGCGTTGCAAAGTGAATTGTGAAATGGTTGATGGTTTTGAAATGAATGATGGTTTTAAAAAATGGTTTGAAATTGGTGAAACATGATTGGAAGATGGGAATCATAATTTAAGAATGCAAATTGCATCGTGAAAGGTGCAAACTCTAACGTGAGACGTGAACTCTAACACAAGGTGTAATTTAACGCCACAAGTAAATCAAATCGAATATACACAAAGCATTCAACAAGATAAAAGGATACAATTGCGTACAACATATGTACATCACATATCTATCGTAAATGAATCGAAAAAGTAACGCAAAATGAAACGTGCACAAATTAAAATCATGATGCAAAAATGCGAAAAGTAAAGCAAAATGAAACATCACTATTGCATACAACGTATTTACATCACATAACCAAATTTAATTTAAATGTAACGATGTTGGGTCGTTATATATTAATAAAAATTAAATGGTAAATTGTTAACGCATGAAGCGCTCATTGCAAATAAATCAAAATGCAATAAATAATAAAAACCATGAAAGTATAAGTTGCAAGTCGAAACACGAATTGGTAAGAAGCAAAAGTGTGGATTGTCGCTATGCTAAACCATCGGACGCGCATACAAAATTGAATTTAAACGCAACAATAACCAACTAAAATGTTGCACGTAAACCCAGTCATTAACTTGCTACGTTCAACAC